TATCATTCCTATTCGGACAATTTGGATTCCAGTTGGTGATATGAAGTGCTTCTGATGATATTAGACGTTCTTTATGATTTCTGAAATTATTCTGGATTATTTCAATATTGTCAAAATCAATTTTGTGGCCTGATTCTATAGCGTATAGATGACCTATGGCTGATGATTTTTCAGCTTTTTTTAGTTGAACCGGATTTCTAAGTGGTCGAACAAATGCTTTACGGTGTTCATTTCTTCTGATTTTGATTTCTCTCCAGCGATGTTTGTCCGATGTATATCGCATGACATTCCAATCGAGCATTTTATTTTATAGACAAAATTAGATAGAGAATCTTTAGGGAATCGGTCTTTAGTTATTCACATTTCAGTTAGTTGTACTGGTCAGTTCTTTCGACTGATTCATCAACTAACTAAACCAATCGATAAATTCTTCCACTAACCAACTACAACAACACCAACAAGAATAACGACAACACACAAACACACTTTTATCACATTAATTTTGATTCTTGGTGTTGTCAGGTGAAGTTAAATTCACATACCGACAGTTACTCCCTCCCTCCACCACCCCCTCACACACACACACACACACACACACACACACAGAACACTCCTTTTACTCCAATAAATAAGTCAATTAATTTATAAATAAAAGAGATATACTACTGATGAATAAATAATAGTAATAATAATTGTTGTGATTCATGATAAAGGTATATTGAAAAAACAAAATACCATTCTAGACAATGGTGAGAAGGTATACACAAATGTTGATTAGATTACACAATGGAAGCTGAAATTGTGTGAAGCCGGTGTATTTTATGGGCTTCTATGCGTGCGTGTTTGTGCGCATAGCTGTGCATGGCTGTGTGTGAATACGCGTAGGTGAGTGAATATGAACATCAGTGGAATTTGTTGTTATTTCTGTTAGTAGTATATCAGTGATGAAATAGATTGTGTTGGTATGATTAAATATCCCACTTCTGGTTGCCTTGGTAACATATTTTATACTATTTATGAGTTTCGTACCTACAGTAGAATTCGATTTGCCAATCTATGCTCAGATTACAAATGCCTGCAATACAGGGTCGTGTAATGTGGTGTATAACAGTTTCTTACCCCCCCCCCCCGCAAAGAACACCGTATACACACTCTGGATTGATCGACTTCAGTTTACATTCTTGATTAGACTGTCATCATATATCAGATTGTCTGGAGAGTTATTTAAGCACAGATGATGGGATTTCTGGGGGTTTGGATTAAGCTCATTTCATTTTGAATAAAGCGAGAACAAAGGAGATTTGTACAGAATAAAATGGTACCATAATGGCTTTTTCTATAGTTTGGTTTGTAAGGGTTAGTTATGTTTTTACGAGTTGATCACAGATTGGTATCAGTTAGAGAACCATTGAAAACCAGCTAGGAGTACTGGACAGCTGCTGTTTCATCCTAGCTTGGGAATCATTGGCAGTACGCACCCACTACACGGGTTCGAACCCAAGACCTTCCGGATACAAGGCAAGCTCGTATACCATTCAGCCACTGGGACTCGATTCATTGGCTCACGAATTCTAACTTCTACCAATTCATGGCTTCTCATCAGCTGCTTACAGCCTTGAAATATTACTTTTAAGTTTAAACACAACAATAGAGGCCAGTTATGCGGCGGATACATTTTTAACGTAGAATAACAGATTAGTAGTTATGGGGTGTCAAAATAAATAGTCGTATTTGTGTGACAAACGTGCTAGTTGGCTGAAATCGATTACAAAATATTATAAAATGGGAGACAATGGTGGTGATTAGTGGTCATAATAGATTTGTAGAGTGTGGGGTATGAAAATTGACAAGTCAGTTCAAGGTTATAAAAGGTGTCAGGTGAGTGGCTAGTGCAAAGTGGTCTGTATTAAACAGGAGATAGTAAGACTGCAATGAGACATTCATCATGAAATAACGAAATTGTGAAATGAAACAGGTGCAGGCATATATTGAGAAAAGAGATAATATCACTAATAATAAGTCCGGATAGTATACATGGAAAACTCGAAGTATTGAGAGAATGTTTGCATGAAGGGCATAAATTGTGACGAATAATAATAATATTAATAATAATAATTGTAATAATAATATTTGCGATAATAATCAAAGGAAAAAAACCAAGAGGGCCTTTATTGTAACGACAACAAATATTATATTTTATAATTGTAAGAACCTGAAGAGAAATTATTGAAAAGAATATTCTTCGTTCAGATTGACTTTTAATTCATGCCATATGGGAATATTCCACACTATCAAATCTTATACACAACATATTAGTTTGTTTATTTGATATATCACACAGTGAAACAGTATCCAGTAAATAATACTGTTTCACTGTGTGATATATCAAATAAACTAATATGGAATTACTTACTACCACAGTGCCCAAGTTTTACACATATACTTATACACAACAGTTAGGACTCTCGCCGATCATGCACATGGTTCGGGGTTCGATCCTCGCCCAACACACACCTGATATCAAGGGTCGGTCTGCAAAATTTCGGCTACCTATATCACATACTTGTACCAAAAATAGAGTGTGAAATCAAGCTGTAATTTAAAAAAGGTGATGTCCGTTGACACGGAGGTCAAGATGAAACAAAAAGTCAGCATATTGATACAGTTTTAAAGGAGTTATGTAATAAAGACAAAAGGATAGAGCCAAAGATTCCGTACCCAAATGAAAGAGAGAGAATAAAGACATTCATTTGCCACAGCAAGGGAAAACTGATAACTGACTGCTATTTTCTGAATGCATAAATCAGGTTTCAGGTGTCAGGCAAACTTCAGGAGAATTGAGCTCTTTTCTCTGTTGGTAGTTTTAAAGGACCTGGTGGTGTCCATCTTATGACCCTTATCAAGGAGATGTCTGGTAAAGGCACTACTGAAAACGTTTGTTCGCTTGAGAAGTAGACGTTTTGGTACATGTTTAGAAAGTCGGGGGTATGATATTTTCCCATTCTCCTAATGTAACTGTTCCCACAGACACACGTAAATTTGTATACACAGTTAGAGTTAACATGAGAAAGGTATCTGTCTACTTTTGACTGCACCAAGGAGCAATTTGTCCAATAAACGGGAACCAAATGAACTGCAGGACAGGCTCTGGTTGGTGAGGTATTCAATCTTCTGTTGACTATTCCTTCAATATTGTCACCTTCAAAGTCGAGTTGAATAAAGACAGGCTTCTTTCCCATTGTGATTTGTTTGGCATGTTAGCCTCTTCCATCGGGATACATGTTATACAGACAAGACATAAAATTGATGTTTACACCCACCCACCCCTTTAAGCCTATTTGTAAAACGTATTAGGAGTTTATCCTAAAATTTGTGGAATCTTTAGCAATTAGGGAGTTTAAACCACCTTTATGCGTCTGCAAAACAATTCGTCATCACATTAAACCCTTCTCGATTGATCTTCTTTTGATACTGGGATAGATGTAATTAGTATCTTCCTTCTTTGGTTTATTAATCACCGTTGTTATTTTGACTTTCAATAAAGCCTATCAATCTGATCTTCGTCTATTCTCTCCCCCCCTCCTGAACTCTTTTCGTTATTTAAATTATGGAATATTATGGGGATTTGGAATGATTTCACTGTAGATTTTGCCATGAACCAACGGATCAGTTAGAGAGATCATTGTTAGCTGTTTCGTCCTACTCTGGAACTCCTCAGTAGTACACATCCACAACCCCACGAGGGATCGAACTTGACACCTTCATATTACCAAATCAGACTCATTGACCATTCAGCCACCTTGAGCTCAAGTGAGAAGTGGTGACTACTGGGGTTGACCAAGTCAGATATGAAGACAAATACGCGTCTGTGACACTGACTGACAGTAGCGTTAAATTCACTCATAGAAATCCCTATGACAAGTGTCTATTTGTTTGATCAGACTGTTTGAAAGTTGTTGCACAAATACATGCATTATATGCATATGCCAGTTTACACCGTCTCTGGCTTAGTAGACGTGATATCCAGCTGGCTGTCGGTCAAAGGGCTTGTGTACTGCTCAACAGTCCAATCCATCCTCCTTTATGGCTGGAAGAACTTGCCATTGAGAGTGGAGGACATGAAAAGGCTAGCTGTCTTTGATTATAGGTGCCTGCGTTTTATCTCCCGTGTTAAGTGGTATAATAAGGTGAGCAATATTGAGGTTAGGCATCCGTCAATCGTTAGGTAAGGAGGGGAAATCAATCGACGAGGCTGTGAAGCTACATTGACTGAGATGGTTAGGACATGTGTTACTTTACCTAGCGATCTCCTTCCTCGACGAGCAATTTTAGCTGACAAAGGGTCAGGTTGGAAGAGAGAGAGCCATTGGTGATCAAACCAAAACATGGCCTCATCAGTCAATGAAATCCACAACAGTTAGTTTAAGCTAGCCACGTAGGAAGGTGTAGACTTCCTGACTGTCTGTTTGGGGTCCTCGGGACGGTAAACACCAACGAAGGCTGGAGACAACTGGTGATGTGGCTCGAAATCGTTCTTGATCATGGCGGAGATGCATTCACTCCTTGTCACTTATGATTTCTAATGAAACTGTGTTGTTCTTCAATATTATTATTCTTTTTGCTTCATATATCTGTTTACTGCCTGTATTTTGCCTTTCTTTTTACTTTCTTCTCTTGCTTTTTGTGCTGAGTGAAGTGTAGTGACTCTAACTGCTGCACATCGGTGCAAATTTATATGTTGAAAGCAGACAGACCAGACAGATTACATCATTTAGATAAATGACGTTTTCTTATTTACATTTTTTGTCGTCGCAATCCATGAAGGGGACTGTTTGTTTCAAATAAAGTTGAAAATCTCAAGAAAACAGCCGCTGGTTAGTCCTGTCTCTTTTTCACTAGGCTATTTCATAGTCACAATCAGCCTATCTACCGCTGTCTATGTATCTTACATGTTTTACCATCTAACTTATTTTTTTTATATCTTCTTCTTGTTTATTTAGCTCAGAAATTCTCTTGGTAAAGCATTTCGTAAAAAGAGTTCATCAATCCATTCACAAAGTGATCTTGACTGTCCTACATCCCCTCAACATAGCCATACATATCATTTCCCCAGTGATAACAATAGTAACTATAACTCTGATAGCCGGCCTACCCTTCCACCTGATCACCCATCAAATTTACCACAAAGTCCAACTATGGATCATAAAGGACTCCATATTGCTGTATGTCATCATTCACAGACAAATTCCATGACAACTGCTGCACCATCATCATCATCACCATCAACTGGAGGAAATAACGTGTTGTTGTCTGTAATACCAAATAATAATAATCAATTGAATGGTTTGTCCCCATCGAATTCATCCACTTCTTCTTCATCATGGAGTGCATCTGGAACAAGTGCTGGAGGACAGAGTAATGCTGTAGATAAAAATGGTAAGTCCCTACGCTGGAATTCATTATTCTACCGAAATATTTCCCTTTTGTTAGCGCTTATTATTATTATAACTGTTTACTTAGGTTTTGAGTGAAACATAGACCTTCAGCTGGACATCTCCATTTCATCGTGTTTTCCACAGGACTGCTGTTAAGCTTTCATCTCCTCTTCATATGATTTCCTCCGTGTCATCCTCGAAGCAACTCCCAATTTATCGTTTCCCATTTTTGTCTCACTCGAGTGTCCGTCTGGCGCGTGATGTCACTCAACATTCTCTTTAGCATGTGTTCGATACACCTTTATTTTTTGGCATATTTGTTGGGAGGCAGATTCTTGATTGGTTCATTGTCTGTCAGACTTCTTTGTTACTAATCCTTTCAAGCCAGTAGCTGTTGATGAACGTCTGTGGCAGTAGCATGAACTCTTTTCAACGAATTTATCATCAATCGTATATATATGGTTTTTAAGAAGTTATATCCAGTCAGGGAATTGAAACATAGGTGTGAATGCATAAAATAATAATAATATGAAATGCAATTAAAACTAAAATGTTTGTGATTATAATCATAGTTAAATGTCAACTGGCAAAGCAAATTAATGTCATGTATAGAATAATTCATCGGATGGATAGAACTTGAAAAAGGTTGTGCAATTATAAGATTAGTAGGCAAATCGAATAAAATAAAAACGTTACATAATATTGTGTGGAATTTGATAACATAGAATTTAATGTTGCATAAAAGAATTGATTTAGAATGACAAGTGAAACAAGTGAAATAATACCGGGGACAGTTAAAAGTGAGACTAGTAATAGTAAAGATTGAGGTATTAAAGGAAGAGAATACAAATTGAATAGACAAAATGAAAAATTGGTAGAGCTAAAATATGATTGGGGATTACCTTACTTTAGCATAGAGGGATTAAGACCATGACAGTTGGAGGGGTTAAACAAACTTTTTCAGTACACAGAGATCTGACTTTTCTCTTTCGACAGCGAAGGCTTCAGTAATACAGATGAGTCGGGTACGTAGTGATTTGGGTAAATTATTCTTTGCCTTGTAGTTGATTTTAAAGGTGGAGGCTATAGAGACAGGGTGATCATTATCGACCAGATGTTCAATGATCGCACTTCGTATTGCTGCACTTCCACCTCTTCGTAACCATTCAGGATGGCGTTCTTGCACCCCCTTGGATAAAACTCCAGTCGAACGACCGATACACCTAGCTACACACGAGCAGGTGAATTGATAAACACACATAGAGTTGGTCAACAGCGGGATCTTGTCCTTCAGGTTATTAAACAGTAATGGTCGACTGGTAAAGGCTATTCTCAAAGATGCAGCAGGGAATGTTCTTTTCACGGACTGTGATATCTTTCTTTTCATGATATCAGAAGCTAAGTCCCCTTTGAATTCCAAGTTCATGTAAAGTATTTTCTTGGGTACGGATGATAAGTCACGTTTTTCAGGATTTGAATGTATATTCTTGTCTATAAAACGTGGTGGAAATCCATTTTCTATTAGGATCTTCCTTAAAAGGTATAACTCATCTTCCACAATATCAGGGCTACACATGCGCCGAATGCGAGTGGCAAGCGACCGGACCAGATTTCGTTTTCGACCAATGGGTAACCAGCTGTAGAAATCTGTCAGTTGACCATAACATGACAGCTTTCGATAAATCGATCTCTTCAGAGTTCCATCGGTTCTCCTTGATAATTTCGCATCGAGGAAATGAATACTAGACTCGTTCTCCACTTCTTAAAAAACCATATATATATACGATTGTACAGCTTGATGATAAATTCGTGGAAAAGAGTCTCTTCGCTGAATCACCACTTGTTTTGATTTTCTATATGTTACAATGGGAATTTTCCATGAGTTAAATTAACTCTTACCACTATCAGAATGTATCCAAGGTATTGTAGAAATTCATTTCTCATTCAACATTTGGACCTTTATCATGTAATCTTGAAGTAAGAAACCTTACTTGCAATTCAGTAGTCTACGACTGATGTACACGAGTTGGTTATCAGGTATCAGTCAGTTAGTTTTCAATCGGTGACTTTGTGACTCACTGATGAAGATCAGAATCTCACGATAGAAGACCACTTTCTTCAATTCTTCAATAGACTTTATAAGTGAATGTCAGAGTCTAGGAAACCCCTAGATTCAGAGATTCATACCAACTAACTTCTAAAATTCAATAATACAATGCTGAGTCCTCTAGCTTTACTAGTCAAACTCTGTACGTCACAGCTAAATAATTACAGGTCTGATTATGACCTGATATCAGTTAGAGAACCACTGGAAAACCACCAGAGAGTACTGGACAGCTGTTTCGTCCTAGTTTGGGATTCTTCATCAACACGCACCCAGTAGGATTCGAACTTAAGACCTCCTGGTTACAAGGTGGATTGGCTGAAGTTGGAATTCATGAGCTGGCCATTGGGTCCGGTGCCATTGACTGAGCGGTCTACGAGCTTGCCTTGTAAACGAGAGGTCGCGTGCTGTTGAACAGTCCCAAAGTAGCCTGATGAATTAGCTGTCCAGTACTTTCTACTAGTTTTCTAATGATTCTCTAACTGCTGACGTAAGCGTGTGATCACACTTGTAACCAATCTAATCCCTGCAAACGAACATTTCGTACTGATGTGGTATCGGGTACGTGTCTATTCTTCTCCTTGTTTATCCCTTTTGCTGCATGAATGTGAGTATCAAAAGACATAGAAAGGTATCCTAATTAGGCTGTTAGTTATAAACGTTCAACATGGAAAATATGAAGTGGCTAGGTGTCTTTAATCACAGATGTCTATCTCTGATGATATGTAGCATAACATAGTGAGTAAAATTAAGGTTAGGCGTGGCGTTAGGTGAGGAGAGAAGGTTAATCTATAACTCTGTGAATCTGTGCCTATTGAGATGGCTAGGAATTGTGTTACACAAGGCGAATCCATCACCTGTTCAGCCACTCAGACAGAATCTAATGCCAAGTGAATTCTAACTTCTACCAATCCGCGACATATATTACATTTCCTCCATCGGCAACATCGGCGAGTATCAGTCATAACATGAAGGTATTCGGTTCAATACTTGGTGGGTTTATAAGTAAGTACTTCTGATGAATAACCCCCAAATCAGGCTGCAATAGTTATTCAGTACTCTCTAACTAATCGTCAGTTCGTGATTTAACTTAACAACAACAGATTCAAAATTCAGCCACTTGGATGCGATTCAGTGGGCAGTACAGGAATTCTAACTTCTACCAATTCGTGATTTTAGCGGGACCACCAATCAGTGTCATCAACTGGAAATCCATCTTCACCCTCTGTTGGATGGAATTCACCATCAACGACTTCTTGTTAGAACTCCAGGAAATGCCATCCTGTAGCCACTCATTGACTAGCATCGAAAAGCAAACCTTATCCTTACAGACCAGCTCTTGAAAATTAATCTGATGGTCACCAATGACTGGCTACGGGATGGAGTTTCCTGGAGTTCTAGTGAAGAGTTCCATCCAATAGGGAATGAGGATGGATTTCCAGCCGATGACATTGGTTGGTGATCGCGCTAAAAGTCACGAATTGGTAGAAATTAGAATTCATGGACTGGCCATTGAATTGGGTCCCAGTGACTAGAAGGTCCTGGATTCGAACCCCGTAGTGTGGGTGTGTACTGCCGATCAGTCCTAAACTAAGATGACACAGCTTTCCAGTACTGATATCAATCCGTCGTCAAACTCGTAAAAAACAAATCTAATCCTTAAAAACCAAACTCTTAAAGATTTAATATTGATCAAATTTTGAATATTACGCTTTTAATATGGGTTAAACGTAGTCCGCGTCGGTGGCACAGTGGTTAGGACTCTTGCCGACCGTGCACATGGTCCGGGGTTCGATCCCCTGCCGACGCACACCCGATATCTATGGTCGGCCTGAATTTGGGCTACCGATATCCATGCTGAAAATTCCATACTTGTACTGAAAATACGGTGTGGCATCAAGCTGTAATCAAAAAAAAAAATTGTTTTTGACATTTCCCGCGTTTGTTCTGTTTTTGTCATCACCATGAAAACCCGGGAAATAAAAACAACATTCAATGTATATTAAATTAGTCATTTTTCTTATACTGTGGTGGTGGTGATAGTGGTGACTGTAGTCGTAAGCGCGGTAATAATAACAACGACAACAACAACAGCGACAAAATCTTTAGACAGCAAGTGTCTTGTAAATCAAGGCAGCAATATTATTAACAAATCAATAATAATAATAATGATAATAGTAATAATAACAGTAATATTCATATGTAACTAAGCTTACTTAACATGATATCTATCAAACAGTCTTACCACCTACCTACCTACCTACATACACCATTACGCAATACGCTATGAACATCTGTCGTCGTGTAAATGGAAGCTAGCTAGACAAAGGAGGAGGGGACAGCGGAGAGAGAGAGCGAGAGAGTAAGAGGCAGTTGTCAAAACAACTAAAATAACAAGAACAGCATAATTGGCTGGGAGGTGGTAATCTTGTATGTGATTAGGATCAGTTGGAAATCTCTCCTCTCGATCACCACTACAGCTACTACTACTACTACGACTACAACTACCTTCTTGACATGCTGTAATTTTATTGTTTACTACCGATTTGAAATAAATAAACAACTGTGATGAATATTTTATCTGTCTGTCTGCATCTCTCTCTCCGAATTTCTTTGATAAGATAAACAATTCTGGTAGGAATGAATTGATCAGCCTTGTATAGTGATAAAATTCGCCGAGGAGGTAATAGATAGTTACTTCTGTTTTATACAAAATAGTAAAAAGGTACAAATTTAGAATTTTGATGATCAGTTTTGTGAGGATTTGGATTAATTTCAGCGTAGATTCCATCGCAAACCAACATCTTTTAAAGAACCACTGAAAACCAGGGAGTAATGGAGAGTTATCTCGTCCTACTTTGGGACTCTTCAGTAGTGCGCACGATCTAAGAATCTAT